CTGCCCTCCTGGGGATCCCAGGGGTCCAAGGACCCACAATAATTGCCTAGGTCCTAGTCTCATTTCAAGCGGGAGGGGAGGACCTGGCCCATGCAGGGAGCCTGTGCGTGCCCGACACAGTAGGTGACAGAGGCCTCGGCCTCCAGACCTGGGTCCTAGGCTCAGGAAGGAAGCGAAACTTGTTTAAGATTACCCAGCTGAGGTCAGGAGAGGGAAGACGAGGCTGCAGAGTAAGAAACTCAGCAAGTGAAAGTGCAAGGTGGGGCAGGGTGGGGTGAGTTCCAAACGCAGGGAAGAGCAATTGGGAGGGTTTGGAAGTGGAGGATGGAGGGAGTGATAAATGCATTATAGATCAGGGAAGGGAAGGGAAGGGAGAAAAGGGAAGGGAATGGGAAAAAGAAAAGAAAAGGAAAGGAAAAAGGGAAAGTAAGAAAAAGAAAAACCACAGCTCTGGTGCTTGGGGGACAAGGGGAATGGCAGGAGTGAGGCCAGGGAGGTGGCCGGGGTGTGTGCAGGGTGGGCTGGGAGTTCTGGTGGCTTTGCTAGAGAGGCGGCCACGTGAGCTGCAGTCAGATGACACGGAGCACCAGGCAGTGGACGGAGCAGACCCAGCAAGGTGCTCCTGGCAGGGATTCCAGGAAGATGGAGGGGGCGTGGCCCTGGTGCCAGCAGGGATGGAGGGGCACCCCTGACTAGAAGGGGCGGCGAGGGTGTAGGTCTCCTCTGTGATGGCTGAGGGAACAGCAGGAAAAGCTTCCTTCTTCACTCCCTGTGGGCATCCTGGCCAAGGTGAAAGTGGGCAGCATCCGGAGACCTGGTGACCAGCACCGTGAGCAAGAGGATGCCGCCTGTCCCAGCTCTTCCGGGCGCTGTCTCTGAGTCCCCAGGTCTGTCGAGAGGAGCTGGACCATCCGAAGACTTGAATCCCAGTCCTCAGAGCCACTCAGAGACAAAGCTTTCCCTCCTTGGCCTCGGCTCCTTCATCCCAACCTCCCGACAGGAGAGACATTCGCTCCCTTGATGGGGTAGGGTGAAATACAGAATGAGACATGTATGGTGTACACTTGAGGGACCCCGTGTTCTCACAGTCACTTCCCACCGCATCTCAGGGGCGCTTGATGTGGCTGGAATGACTGGAAGACGACATGGGTGTCCTGTGTCCACCAGGGGGCAGCAGCGAACTTCCAGGCTGCAGGCCAGGGTTGGTTCACTGATTCTGCCTTGATGGAGGCCTGGAGCGAGGCCCACAGGCAGAGAACCCAAGCTCCCCTTGTCCACCCTAGAATGCTCCTTGGGGGGGAATACCGAAGTTGAGATGAGGTCACCCAACCTGGGGCTGCTGGCTCTGACCTCCCTGCCTGGGTCCCCTGAGAGCAAGCAGCCCCTTTCAGCTATGTTCATGGGACACTCTGAACTGGGAAGTCTCCCTATGCAGGCTGGGCTTATGGGGGCCTACTGCTTCCTCCCTTGGTCAAGGGTGTGAGTCACATCTGCTGCACCAAGTGCACACTCTGTCAGCTTCCTCGGGGCGCACACAGCAGGCGCAGTCAGGCGTGATGAGAACCAATCACAAGAAGGTCGAGGGACCAGAGACATCCCCTGCCCAAAGTCGCTTACATGTGGATGAGGGGGTGCGTGGGCCATTCTATGGCACAACTTAAGACATGAAGAGCTCCAGCTCCCCATGGGCTTCTCTTTGAGTCCTGAGGCCTGGATTTGGGATCTGTGGCTGGGGTGATTTCCCAGGCTTCGCCTGGCTCTGCCTGGTAGCTAAATTCTGCACCCAGGCATTTTTAAGACCACAGCCCCAGCTGCAGCCCCTTGCTGTCAGTTTGATCTTAGCTGAACAACTCCACCCATCTGAGCCTGCCTCCTTCCCACCGTTCAGTGTGGGGGGATTAGGAGGGAAGCAGAGTTCACAGGATGGCTGGGTGTGAACTGGGAAGCAGCTGGTGGCAGCCTCGCTCTTTGGGAAGAGCTGAGCACAGGCTGCTTGGCAGCCCTGGGGCGAGGGTGCCCCTGAAGGCAGTCCCTCAGTGCTCCTCTCCATGGGCTCACATGGCTGAGCCTGGAGGAGCTGTGCCAGCTCTGGAAGTGAGACCCTGTGTGAGCTCTGAGTGTCCCGGTGAGATCTGGCCTCCCTGGGCACAGAGCCTATGGCTCCAGACTCCGGCTAGCTTGGCACCCCAGAAGAAGGGGCTCCCAAAGTCACCTGCCATGGCCTTGAATATTCAGAAATGAAACACAGGCACCTTCTTGCCCGCAGCAGGCTTAGTGCATCGGTCCACTGAAGAAGAGGGGGCTGCCTTGCCTCCCTGACAGGCCAGAAGGGGCATCTCCTGGCCACTGGAGATAAACTTGCTCTTTCCCAAGCCAAGGCAAGCTGGGCCTCTGGCCAGTACCTCTGTTCTCTCTTGAATAAAGACAAATCAACCTGTCTTTGTCAGTAGCCTGGAAAGGGCAGAGGGCGCTCCTGCCTGGCCTGTGTCCTGGGTGACTGAATCTCAACCATTCTGATAGAAAGACTTGCAACACCTTAGCCCCGACCAGGCCCCTGTGCTGAAGAGCTGACACAGAGAGACCTTCCATCTGTTGCTTTGCTCTCCAAATGGCCACACAGCAGCCAAGCCTGAGCCAAGCTGAAGACGGGAGCCAGGGACTCCATCTGGATCTCCCACACAGGTGACAGGAACTCAAGTATTTGGGCCATCTTTGGCCACCCTCTCAGACATATGAGTAGGGAGCAAAGCCAGAAGCAGAGCGGCCAGAACTGGCTCTGATGTGGAATGCCAGCACCACATGTAGTGGCTTCACCTGCTGTGCCAGTCCCACGGGTTAACACTCGAATTACTGCGGACAAGCATTGATGAACTCCTCGGAGGGTAAACAAGCTTGATTGTCACTCCCTAAGGCAGGAAACCTGAATTCAAAGTGCTCAGCTCCATGACCAGGCTCCCACGACAGCCATGGCAGGCACAGGGAGGCTGGGAAGACAGCCTGGAGCTTGCCCAATGTTCTGGAGCCTGCAGGCATCCTGATGGCCAGGACCCCAGCCACAGAGGCTATATTCAGTGTCCCCCAGCTGCTGCTGAGGCGACACTGGGTCCTGTTGTCTGGGGGAGATGACAGCCCTGCCACACAGGGAAAGAGGCTGCATAATCTCTTCCTCTGATTGGCCCAAGTGTCCCACAGAGTCCAGCCAACGCTGGCCAACGCTTGCTTCTGGTGGAGAGCGCCCTCTCCTGTGCATCCTACTGTGTGCACACCAGGGGTTCTGAGTCCAGGTAAAACATCCCCCTTTGTCTCCCCTCTTCACGGCCTCAGCAGCTGGCACTGGACAGAGTGATGGGGAGTGGGTCAGGTCTTCAGGAGCCCAACCACCTAGGTACAAATCCCACTTCTGCCACCTAGTGGCCGTGGGAAGTTGGGTGAGATTCTGAATCTTACTGGAGAGGCAGAGAGAATGAGACAGATCTTCCATCATTCCCCCAAACAGCTGCAACAGCTGTCACCAGACTAAAACCAGGAGCCCAAAACTGCATCCAAGCCCCCAGGGACTTGAGTGACAGAGACCCACGGCCTGGGCTCAGGGCATCACTGCTTGAGGACCAGTCTTAAGCATTCTACTTGTGTCCCACTGAGTCTGTGTGTGCTCATATAGCCCCAAACAGATCTGTGCTCATGGCAGCTCCTGTTATCCTACAGAACCCTGTCCTTAACCCCTGTCCCTCCCAGGGGTTCAGACCTATTCGGGTCTGCCTTAGCAGAAGGAAGCAGGGATGTTGCTGGGCCTGAACGCAAATGAGCAGCAACTCAGAACTGGAAAATCGTGGTTGGCTCCAGGAGGAAATGTCTGGACTCGAATAAACCTGCCTCGGCTGGGGTCCCCCTGGGTGGTCCCCATCCATTCTTCCCTGGCAGCTCAGGAAAGCTCTGCTGGTCGGTGCCAGGGGCCTTCTTGCTGCAGCCTGGAGACCTCCCAGCATGTGAGGGACCACCAGCAGGAAGATAATGGTGCTGGGGAGGGAGGTGAGGCTCTGGCATGACCCCGCATTGGAACCCGCATCGATGGGGCATCCAAACCGCAGGTGTTCCTATGTCTCCTTTACAAGAACCTTCAGAAGTCACAGCTAAGATTGCACCCCAGTCCTGGCGGGGTCCGACCCCCTACCCTCTGCCTTCACCATCTTTGTCACTTTCCAGCTGTCACATGTTGAATCTATTTTTCTGTGTCTTGTCTGTGTTCTGTAAGAGTAAGGAGACTGACCTAGGAGAGTTCAAGGTTAGCCCGAAGTAGGTTCTCTAAGGTGCACTGTTGCAGGAATATCATCAACGCTATCAAATGGTCACGCTGGGCAGCAGGCACGAGGCTCTGGGACTCACTTCTTGACCCCGACAGCTCTATACAAGGATGCCGCCCGCAGGTGGGACACGGGAGGCTCTGTTCAGAGCAGCGAAGTCACCAGCTAAGGATCACTGGTGCCAAGTGACCACGTGGGGACTGGCACCCGTGTAATTCAGTTTGTGGGCATCCTTGATCTGGCTGCCAGTGCTGCCTGGCCACTCTGCCCCCTACTTCCCCAAGCTCGACCTCCACTAACCTTGACCTTCCCGGAAATCACCAGCAATCAGCACCAATCAACACCACTGGCAAGCGGGCACCTTGCAGCGACTTAGGGTGGACACAGGAACCTGGTATATTCCACATCAGAAGGGAACATATACACCTGTGAGGAACCCTGCTCGGGGATAGGACCAGCCTGACTCACAAGTGACATCTTTTTATTTCCATATTTCACACTATGTCCCTGTTTCCTGAGTTCAGATGTATTTCTCGGGGTCCCCTTGATCCCTGACAGCCCCACCAGCACCCCTGTTCTCCAGCCCTAGGAGGGAACAGCTGCAAGCCCAGCTCCTAGACAGTGAGGAAGGAACACAAAGAGCGCAGTGCCTGAGCCCCGGCCACACTGCAGCCTCTTTCTCAGGTTTCCACTTCGTCTTCAGTGGGCTGGGTGGCCTTGGCTGGAGCTCTGAGCACCCTGGCGGGCAGGTGGTTGGCTCCGAACTCGCCGCAGGGAACTGCCAATCTGCTGCCTCAGGGCCTCCAGTCTCTGGGCCAGGTTGGGAGCCGTGGCCCCACCTAAGAAGCAGTGAGATACGAGGCCAGCGTTAACTGGGTGTCCAGGCCCCAGCATCCTGTGAAGTCTTGCGTAGTAAACCCCACCCTTCCCCATACTTCCACACACACCAGGGGCCCCAGCATTCATCTAGGCTTTGCAAAACTCTAAAAAATGAATTCCAACTTTGAGAACTAGAAATTGAAAGCAGCATTGAATACTGTTCCCATTTCAGACAGAGAAACTGAGGCCCAGCAAGGGAAGGGTTTGGGCCAATATCACAGAGGATAGGAGGGGCCCGTCCTCACTCCCTGCTCACCTCTCAGGGCAGGTGAAGTGCCGGGGGGCTCCACGGGCAGTGGGGGTGCAGAGGGTGCCACCTCCTCCTCGGTCAGCAGCTCTGCCAGGGCTCGAGTCTGAATCCAGTCTCTGTGAGGCATGGACCAGGGTGTGGGGGGCAGTGCGAGTTGAGCCAGTGAGTGTCCTGCTCCCCTCCCCCAACCCAATGCTGGGCCCACCTCTCGCCCGGACACTTGGCTGAGCCAGGGCTGCACGGTGGTGCCCGGGGTGGGGGCCGACCAGACAGGAGCATGTTGCTGCTGGGAGCCTCAGGGGACAGCACCTGCAGGAAAATGCCCAGAGTACACCCTGGGTGACCCAGTCCTGCCCACCTTTGCCGTGAGCCCCCAGCCTCCATGCCTGCCCTCCACAGGGTGCCAAGAATTTGAGGGTAGCACAAAAAAGGGTGTCCACAAGGGGGGTGGGGTCTTGGTCCAAAAAGAGAGAGTCTTGCTCCCTTTCTTGTGTGGCCAGGAAGTGGCTTTTGTAATGTCTGTTCCTACAGCCACACGACCCTCCCCACAGTCAGGAATGCACCTGGTCCATTTAAGGCCCCTTGGTGCCCACATCCGTGGCTGGCACAGAAAAAGAGCTCAGAGGAGAATGACTACCACCGGGAGCCTTTGACACACATGAGTAACCGAGCACACGTGAGTATGTGATTAAATGACTGAATGACAGCCAGCCATGCCCCATAATGCCATCTGGAATCCTCAAGTCACTGAGACTCTGGACCCTCTTGCTCTCCTGGCCTGTTGCCCACCCTGGATTGTTTCTAACCTTCCTGGCCCTCGCTCACCTGGGTTCCTCCTACCTGTGGCAGGTGGCACTCCCCACGTGGGCAGGCCCAGTGGGCCAGGGGCGCTCGGCACAGGGGGCACAGGTGGCAGCAAGGGCAGGAGCAGAGGGGTGGCAGTGCCTGCAAGAAGGCACATCAGGGTTGTGTGGCATCCCCACTATGTCACCCCTCCAGGCTAGGCGCCGAGACTCACATGACATGGAGGAGTTGGTCCCATCCAGCAGGAACATGGTGGGGTCAGGCCGGGGTCTGGCTGGTGAAGGTAGCGGGCAGAGAGAAGGCGCCTGGAAAAGAACAGTGGGGTCTGTGCTGGTGGCCCCCAAACCTATTTCCAGGCTGGCTCCCAAGCCGCTGTTTTCAACAGAAATGCCTAGAACATGTAGGATGCACCAGCAGGTTCCCAGTGTGCATGTTCATTCATTTACAAAGATCTCTACAACACCCTGTGTAGGAAAGGCAACACTGTGACCCACCATTTTTACAGAAGTAGTAACAGCCTAAATGATTCACCTACAGAGGCATAGCCAGGAGGAGGGGGTGAGCTGAACTAGAGGGGAGGTCTCACCCACTGCATTGAGTCACCCCGGCCCTGCTGTCCTTTGTCTTTAAGCTTGCCTCAGTGGTCACTAGCCATACTCACCTCTCCAGCTCATGTACCTGCTGCGCCAAGATGCGCTGCTCCTCCCGGGCCAGGTCTCGGCTATTCTGTAGCTGGCTCATTTCTTTTCTAGGGAGAGCAAGACATGGGAAGGTGATGGTGGCAGCGCTGGCCGGGGTCTCAGGTCCTGCTTATGGGAGCCAGGAGGCAGGTGCTGACTGAGAGGAACCAGAGAAGTGAGGCATCTTGTCTGAGCCCAGCAGGGAGGACTGTGGGCCGGGCCCTACCTGAGCCGCTCATTCTCCAGCATGAACTCCTGGAGCATTCCGTAGAGATTTCGCTGGGCCCAGGCCAGCCGGGCTTCGCTTTGCCCACGGGCTGTAGGGAGAAGCAGGGGCCCAGGCGCTAGAGTCCCAGCTGCCAGACGCATTATACCCATGCCCCCAGGGAGCTCCTACCCTTGGGGTCCAGCTGCTCTAGCTGCAGCCGCAGGCGCTGGTTCTCTTCCTGAAGCTGCAGCATCTCCGTCTCCACACGCTCAGGCCACTTTGCTTTGGGAGACTGCGGAGGAGAAGCCTGAGCCACCATCTCTAGTTGCTCACGTTGCGCACTGCACAAGGGCTTCTCGGGATGGGCAGTGCATGGGGCCTAAAATCTGGCCTGAGCATCACTTGCCAGGCTTGCATCACCGTGGAGCGTGTGCCTTGGCCTAATTCCATCATCCTGGAAGGCCTGACTCTAGGCCAGACTTGGCACTCAATCCAAGTCAACCCCAACTCAGTTCTGTTCAAACTTTGGCCACACCTCCAGCTCAATCCAAACTCAGCCATGAGACTGCCTGGGATCCTGGCTTGACTCTGAGTCACATCTCAATGCAGATTCCAATGCTAGACATGCCCAAACCCTGACCTTGTCCATGGCAGGGACCCTGAGCTTAACCTCACCCAACCTTAACACAGGGATCCAACCCTGAACTCAACTCTGAGCCCATCTCAGATTTCAACTGTGATACCAATCCAGGCTCTGGCTATTGCCTGACTACACCTTTCTTCACCCCCACCCCCATCTTTCCGTCCAGCTTTTTGAATTACCTTGGGGGCCTGGGGCCGGGTGGTGACTCGCTGAGCTCGACTGGCATATCGCAGGGTACTGAGGGTCTCCGGGAGGCACTGGGCTGATGGGGACACGCAGGCCACCTGGAGGACACTCGGCCTGAATGCTCCTCCCTGGGAACCAAGCCCTCCCTCCCAGTCTCCCTATGATACCATGAGGGTGACCCCGCGTCCTCCCAGCGAGTCAGCCAGCAACTTGGTGAGCTTGCTATCTCGGAAGGGGATGTGGCTTTGCTTCCGCTGGGGGTCTAGCAGCAGGGAGATGCAGTGGCCTGTGTGGACAGAGCAAGCTGGTTGCCTAGGACCCCTCAACAGGGACCCCCTCACAGAGCAGAGCTCTCCCCAGGCCTGTGGGCCTCTCCCAATCTACCTCCCATGATGCCACTGCTTCCTGGTTGTCCCACACCAACAGACTGCCGCTCTTCCATGGTGCAGGCAATCCTCTCAGTGCCTCCACTGCCCAGCAAAGGGCCTGGCACTCAGGTGATTGTTGACACATGGATAGGACAGAAAGAAATGTCCTAACGACTCCCTCGCCCAGCATGGAGGAGCCAAGGTCCCAGCCCATCAGGACTGAGGTGGGGATGGCTTCGAGGGGACAAATCAAACGTGTCTGGGGGGTTTGTGCTCTGCGGCTGAGTCTCTCCACTTCCTAGATGGGAACCCAGCATTGCAACCCCTTAGAGTCAGAGATTCATAAAGAGTCCTCTAAGAGCAGAGAAGACAAGAGCACGACAGCTGCCCCGGCTGTGGGTCCACCCCCCGATGAGGGACCTGGGACAGCAGAGCGGCAAAGCCCCAGCTCTCACCCAGGGCCAGCAGGCTGCGGTTGATGCTATTGGCTTCTAGCATCAGCTCCCCCCTCGATCCTGTGGCCGCCACCTTCTCACTGCCTGCCAGGTCAACAAAGCACAGCTTCCCACCAGCAGGGGGCTCCCCTGTGTCTGTACGAAGCATCTGCTGGGGCTAGGGAGAACCAAGGCTGGATGGAGGCTTGGCAAGAACTGTCCCCATGGAGATCACAACGGGAAGGGTGTCCACGGCCTGCCATCACCTCCTGCTCACATCCAAGCTGGTTTCCGCATCCTTGCCAGCCCCTAATGCAGGAGAAGGGGGGCACTCACAGTTTGGCGGCTGATGTAGAGCGTGAGCAGGGCATGACTTCGGCTGGAGGCCTGGTTCAGAGTGTGTGCTGAGCTCCTCCGACGGCTGAGACCTGGAGGGGGAGAAACCCTGGGAGCTGGACCTGGTAGGAATGCTCCCCGGGAGTGCAGACACAGGGCTTTGGGTGTGGGTTTCAGGGAGAATGAAGCATTGTGTCTTAAAACAAATTAGCAGGGAAGAGCCTAGAATGGTGGGTAGGGGCTGACGTCCAGCCTGGGGGAGCAGAACAGGGCCTGCAAAGGACTTGGAAGGCAGACATTAGCCAGCCTGGGGAGGGGGGACCAGCTGGGGCACCCTTAGGGCAAGTGTTGGAATTGCTATCCTGCCACTGTTGTTTCCCAGGCCCCAACTCCAGGCCTGGGCTGGGCCCACTGGTCAGTGAAAGTGGAGGCTTGGGCACCCATCCCCATAGCTCCTGGGGAGAACGCACCCAGCTGTAGAAGTCCCATCAGGGCCTCTAAGCTCCCAATCTCCACCACCCGCAGCTGCTCCACATAGAAGCCCTGAGTTTTGTTCCAGCGAACGGGAAGAGGCCGAGGAGACCCCAGGCTCAGCAGATCCCGGACCTGGGAGGTTAAGAGTGCAAAGTGAGGGCAGGGGCTATCTCTGACCCCCCTCCACTCACCCAGGAGTCCCCAACCTGTCTGTCTGCCCCAACCCCCACTCCTCTGCTTCCTTCCTGGGGGCCTCACTGCCCCCTGGCTCCCTCACCTGCTCATTGTAGATCTCCAGATAGGAAGCCCCGAGGGTGGCAGGGCTCCCCAGCTGCTGCACGCGGCCCCACAGCCAGGAGAAGGTCCTCTGCATGATGCCTGCCAGACTAGGGGGGACCGGCTCCCCCTCTCCCTGGAGGCAAAAGCCACTGAGCCTGGGCCATCGTCATCATCACCACCCCCAACTATTCTTTGTGAAACACTCCACACTAGGAACCATCCCAAGGTTCCACATATCCCATTTTAATTTCCCATTTTATAGATGAAGTTAGTAACATTCATCCGATAAGGTTCCCAGGAGCCAAACTTCGAGTCCACACGCTCCAAATAGGTCATGTCTCAGGTTCCTTGTTCCCAAATCAGTGGGGCGATCGGCATCATCCAAGCCCCTGCCCTCCCTCTACGCAGCACTAACGGCTTCGGGGTCACCTGCCCTACGAGGGCTCCTCTGGCGCTGGGCGCACCTGGGGTGGAGGTCCGGTCAGGGTGTAGGTCTTCCCAGACCCAGTCTGTCCAAAGGTGAAGATGGTGCAGGAGAAGCTGCAGGGTGGCAGGCGCGTGGATGAGCCCAGGCTGCTGCCCGCGGTGGGTGGAGTTGCACTAGATGAAGTGGGCAGGGCAGGAGCCGGGCCAGGGCCGAGGCCCTCACTCACCCACGCAGGGCCAGCTCGCCCAGGCGCCGCACGCCACAAGCCCGAAACACGTCCTCTTGCGTGCGTGTCCCGTCCAGCACGGCCCCAAAGCGGAACGCCACGTCAGGGCCCCCGCCCGGGGGGCTCACCTGTGGAAGGGGCAGGGCCATCTAGGGAGGGCGGAGACTCCGGGGAGGGTGGGGCACTGGGGGAGGGCCTGCGAGGGGCAGGTTGTTTTTCGGGATGAGGGAAGAGCAGGGTTCCTCACCTGTAGAGTTCGGGTCCCTGCGCAGTGCAGGGCGCTCTGTTCCCCCCTTCGAAGCTCCGCTTCGCTCATAGGGCGCACCCTGGGGCCCGGCGGGAGGGCAGATGGTCCATCCTGATGTCCCCATGGGCCCCTTCCTCGCCCACGGGCCACCTAGCCAATCTCTACCCACCTGAGCACAACCTGGATGGACGTTTCTGCCCCTTCTGGGCCTTGTTCCAGGCTCCGGGCGGGGTCCCTGTGGACGGCAGTGCGTGTTAGCATGGCCCCCCATCCTGACTCCACCGGCGCCCTGCCTTTTTGAGGGTGGCTTACCCGTCGGGAGAGCCGCGCTCCTCCATGTTGAGCTCCACACAAGTAGCCAGCTCCCCTGGAGTCTGCTGGCTTCCTTTCCACCCCCGCTACCTTCCCTCCCTCCCCCCGACCCCACGGGGACTGTCCACACACACCCGCATTCCCAGCCCCCCTCCCAGCCCTGGTGGCCAGCCGGGCGGAAAGGCTCGGGCTACCTGGTTAACGATTTACCTGCCCCCACCTCTGAGCAGGGAAAGCCTCTCAGCCTAGCTAAGGGGGGTTCTGGAGTGTACTGCCATTTACTCTTGGCCCATCCCACCAGGAACCCACAGGACCACCGACGCCAGCCTCCTTTGTGCACTTACCAGGGAAAGTGAGCAGGGAAGGGAAGGACTCGGGCCAGGCCACGGCCCAGGCTGAGCAGACCCAGGCTTCTTACTCCCCACACCCCTTCCCCCCAGCACCTCAGGTTGTCTCTGAGCCCTGGGAGGGGCAGGGCTCAGGACTCAGGGCTGTAGGGAGACAGGGCTGTCCTGACAGGTTTCCAAGCATCTGGTTAAACATGGCACACCTGCCTTCCTGGTGCCAAGGCTAATCCAAGAGCAGTGTAATTGCTTAACCCCCTCCTGGTCCAGTTCATGGGAGCAACAGAGACGTTCATGTGTGAACTTGTGGTCACGTAGTTTATGTGGACACTGCGCTGGGCACTAAATCCCAGGAACCACTTGGGATTCATTACTCCATAGCTCCTGTCTGGCCCCTCTGGAGACAGGAAGTCCTATTCAGAGTGTAGGACATTCCTGGGAAGTTTAACAGCACACAGGAGCCAGGAGGGCTGGGAAGTGAGCATGACAGGTAGGGTGTTCCAAGCAGAGGAAGCAGACCATGGTGTGGGTTCAGGAGAGGTGGTCTGAGGTTGGATCCAGCTCGTGGAAAGTACATCAATTACTTCTGAGGGAACCCGCCCGAGAACTACTAAAGGGTTCCAGACGTGGACATGACACTGTCAGGGTGTCAGCATTGTTGCTGCCATCAGCTGTCTCTGTGTGTTCTCAGAATGTTTGAGTAAACTCCCCTCCCACAAATGCATATTAGTGGGAAAAGCCCCCAAACCACACGCTTTCACTGTAGCCCTCTCCACACTGCCACAGATGACAGACAGTGAGCAAAGCCACCCCGTTGGGGAAGGAGCTCTCTCCGGAGGCAGTGAGCTCTCCATGCACTGGAGCTGTGCAAGATTGGTCTCTTGGTTATAGGGACCCACTAGATGGCGCTAAGGAGACCTCTGCAAAGATCCATTGCCCGTGGCTAACTTAACCATACAGCCTGGTGCCTTCTTAACCTGTTTCCTTTCTTTAAAAAGATTCTCCTGTTTTACATGCTGGTAAAGTGACTCGAAAGTTGCAAACAATTAGCTAAAAGCAAGAGGAAAGAATCCATAGATGATCACCAAGATCCTAAGGCTAAAGTTTCATAATCTATTGTATTATTTGCGACTTTGTGGTGAAAAGGACCTGTTACTCTTCATATTTTGCAAATTAAAAAAAAAGACACAGGAAACCAGAAGCGGGCACAGAAGGTTGCCTGAGGAGAAGATGGCTGCAGCTGGCAGAACTGAGTATAAACCCAGTGTGATGGGCTGCCTGCCGTGGCTGGCCACTGGCCGTTGAAGGCCAGGGTAAATGTTGAGAAGTAACGGGGATTCACAGCTTAGTGTGCATTGATCTAATCAGATGCTGCCACCGCTCTGACTGCCTGGGAGCAAACCATCCTGAAGGATTTTGAGAATGATGAGACAGGGCTGTGGGCAAGGGGGGTGTGTGTGTGTGTGTGTGTGTGTGTGTGTGTGTGTTATGAGCTGTTTCATGCGTTTTCCAGCCTGAATTATAATGTTGGCAACATCAGAAGCCCACAAGCAAAAATTCTGGTTCTGTGCTACAACAGTGAGTGTGACTGTCTGCTACATTTCCATGAAGCACTCAGGAGCCAATTTTGATTAAGCTTCCTCCGTGTGCCAGGCTTCTAGGTCTTTGGTATACATGAGTGAACAAAATAGAGTCTTGAATGAGATGGAAGTTGAGAAAAAGCTGGCAAGTACTTTACACAGCATGGGAAATACTGAGACAAAAAGACAGCCTGGGTGAGAGAGAGCGGGAGTGTTGGGGTGGGGGATGGGTTGTTGTTTAAATAGTATGTCTTAAAATACCTCACTGAGAAAGTGGCAGTCAAGCAAAGACATCAAGGAAGAGAAATGCAACAAGGAGGAAGTTATCCAAGTGAATCTTTGGGGGACTATTATCCTGGAAGAAGCACTGTCTAACCCAAAGGTTGCTGAGTGGAGTATAACCAACGTGTTCAAGGAATGGAAAGGGCAGGGAGGGTAGCTGGAGCAGAGTAAACCAAGGATGGTAAAGGGTAAAAAGGGACGGAGGGAGACAAAAGGTCATAGGCGACATGGCGTCTGCGCACGGAAACTTGTAAGCAACTCCAGGGACCTGGCTTTCGCTTTGGATTGAGAATGGGGGTGATGGAAAGTAACCGGAGTATAACGATCCTCGCAATACAGTCGACCCTTGTTAAAACATTGGGTGAAATATGTAAGAAATGAAGTACAAATGCAGGGAATAGCAAGCATTTCTTACACTGTCAAAAGCCAAAGACAGTGAGAAAAAAACCCTTATAGGTGGGTAAGCAGGGAGCAGGGAAAATACAATTTTCAAAAGATCAACAAGAGTATGATTTTCAAACAGAAGTTATGGATGTCAGCGGACAATAGAACATCATCTTTAAAGTGTGGAAATTAGAGAACAAAATTCAGCCTGAAATTATTTGTTCAGGAGAAATATCCTTTACAACAGTAGGTAAAATACAGTTTTAAACAAACAGAAGCTGAAGTAGCTAATCACAGCTGATCACCACTGCAATGAATGCTACAGGAGGCTTTTGCTTTAGGTTGAATGAACATGTGGAACATGGAACTGAGTGAAGAATTAAACAAGTGCATACAAGATCATTTCAAATCTAAAATAGTTCTAGTTTCCTTCTGTAATTGAAATATATCTGAAAGTAAACATAACTGTATATAGTATGAAAGGTATAAGCATTGAATGGAATTAAGCACACAGTTACAGAATTGATTCTTCAATTGTTGGGAAGTGACAAAGTACTCACTAAAGCTAGCCTTCTGATGATCAGGGTGAAATCTGAAAGGTGACTGATACAAAAATAAAAATTAAAACTGAGAAACTAATAGTTCAGCAAATATATTTAAAGTAATTGATCGAAAGACAAAAAAAGTAAAAACAGAGTCGTAAAGAATAAATTAAACAAATATTAAAAAAAGATGCAATTAAACCTGAGGCACCAGGAAACATTCATGTTCATTGTACATGAGCTGAACACTCCAAATGAAAGACAAAGACTATCAGACATGAAAACACATGGTGGATATAAGATACATGGTGTGTGTGTATGTGTGGTAAAAGTCTGTTTCAAATATATGAAAAAATACAGGATAGGTTCACAAGATGCAACCAAAGAAAACAACGCAGCCCTAGTAACATGGGACAGAGTGAATCCAAATGCAAGAAGCTTCAGCGGAGAGAATGAGACCCTTTCTATTATGTGCTTCAGTGGGAAGCCATCACAGCCTCAAAGAGCATTCCTCCAATAACGAACTAGAAACAGGCAAATCTACCATTCTTGATGCCATTCTTAACACAGCGTTTCACTAACTGTGGGACAACGGGCCACAACCCGGGAAGCATTCAGAAGGCTGCAGCCTCACTGTTACTCCGCTTGGTCTAAATGACACACGCAGACCACAGAACCCGATAACTGCACGCTGCTTCTTCAAGTGCACATGAAACCTTAGCCAGAATAAGTATTGGATTGTCGGACCAGACTACCATTTCAAGGGACTGCAATCCTATCAAGGCTGCCCTCTGATCACAGAGGAATTAACCTAACGCCTAGAACCTAGAACTAAAGAATACCACCCCCTCCTTGCTTGGAAAATCACTTCCAAAAGACCCCTGGATCAAAGAGGAAACCACAGTGCTGACTAGAAAATATTTTGACATGAACAAAATGTACATGTATAGTTCCATAGTGGTTTTTTTTTTTTTTTGGAAATGTATAACCTTGTTTATTTTAGGGGAAAAAAAAGAAGGTTGAAAAATCAATAGGAAGCTAGAAAAAGAATGATACATTTAAGAAAGAAATTACACAGCTAAGAGCACAGAGCTCTATGATAAGACCAATGACCAATATAAACACTTAGAAGATTAATAATGAAAATAGAAGGAGAAAATACAAATTACTACAATTAGAAAAGAAAGAATATTTCATTAAAAATACTGCAGACTGCAAACGAATAATAAGATTTAAGCAACTTTATGTCCATAAGTCTAAACTTGACTGTGTTCATGGATTTATGGACATGTCTGGATTTTATCAATAAGCCTATATTATATACCATAGGTAGATTACATATAAAAATACACATTCGGAAATTAAAATTTTAACATTTAGAGCAGTTTCATAAATCAATTTATTGGAAATTAATTTAATGGAAAAAGTACAAAAACTACATATGAAAAAAGTGACGAAATAGCGATGGACACTTGGCCTAAATTAACACACCAGTCAGGATGTCTAAATCCATACTAGAGTATGTGAGTTCAACTTCTAGAACTGACTCACTTCTAGCCTCCTGCTCATGCATGGCTGGGAAGGCAGCAGGTGGCTGCTCCAGTGGTTGGGTTCCTGGAACATCTTGTGGGAGACCTGACTGTATTCCTAACTCTGGGTTCCAACCCCAGTTTAGTCCCAAATTTATATTTGATCAAAATGGAGAGGGCATTTGGCCTGGTGGATGAGCTGCTGGTTAGAACACCCAAATCCCACATCAGACGCAGCTTTGTGCTAATGTGGACCTGGGGAGCAGCAGGTGATGGCTCAAATGGAAAGCTCCTAGCCCAGCCTTGGCCTAACGCCAACCTTGTGGGCATCTGGGGAGTGAACCAGCACATAGGAGTCTCTCTGT